TCGTTGTGACTACGAAAGGAGTAATCGTCCAATGCCCTTTGTCTATAGAGATTGTTTCCCACTTTCTTTTTGATTTTCAAAATCAAGTGTTAGGGTACGCACAGAAAAATACAGGACTTTTTAAAATCATATCATACTGTATGTAGGTATACAGAGAATTGTATAATTGGGATAAAGTGAATACATTAAAAACCCTTGGCTTATAATAAAAATGTATTTCACAAGAGTTAAATGAAGCTCAACTTTTTTCAATTCTTATTTAGGATTATAAATCTTTGCTAAAAGGAACTTGCGATAATTGCAGGTCTTATGTTGCTCGTTTGAGGACGTAGCGCACTATGGCCGACTTTCGTATTTTTAAACTAAATAAAATTTAGCATAATGACTACAAATCAATAATTTCAGTCTTTAGTATTAATATTATAAATGAAAGAGGTACCTACTTATTCCACAATCAGAATTAATACAGACGCTGGTATTTTCCGTAAAAGCATTTTGAAAGCACACTGCAATTCAAAGCCACTTAACACAGCAAAATTGAGTAGTTGTTCATAGACATTCCCTATTGATTTCAAAAATTCACTGATTGACTACGCTTCTAAGTGCCAATATGCAGTCGTGTATGTAGAAACAATTTCCATTAATTCGTTTAATAAATAACAATATGCTCCTACTTAGACATAAAATAAAGCATACGATGTGTATAAATGCAAACATCAATAATCATCGTATTTGTCGAAATCGAAATATGCTTTAACCGAACGTGTGCAGTCTGCGGATTGATTGGATTTAAACATTTGACCCATTTCGAGAATACATCAAAGTTTCATATTTCGTTTGTGAGACGTGGAATCGAAGATAAATTTGGAGACACTGAAGTATAACTAATTGCATAAGGGAGATTGTCAGACTGGTGGAGGATGTAGGTACACAAATCATAATTGATCAAGCAGAAAATTAAAACTGGGTTATCCACTGATTGAAGTAGGCTCTTTTAATCTGTTTCTGTATACGGTATATGAATGAAACTTGCATTGATCTAAAAGTGTATGTATTTTTAGAGCATTGTGTCTATTTTTTTTAATTCGTATATAGGTACCTACCCACCCATCAACAGTCCGAATCAATTTCACTAATGAATGACCACAAAGCAAAACCAAAATGTTACTACTTCATTGCGACAAACATCAAGAGGTAATTGAAAACCTAATTTGCCAAATATTAAATCTCGATTATAGGTCATATTACACATAGTGTAGCCGGCGAATATGCAATAACTATTTCACATTTAAGTAGTTCTGTAAAAATATTATAGAGGGTTTTCAAAGTTAAGAACGTAACTGGTTCATCCGAAGCCGTATTCGTATGTGGTGTTAAAATTAAAAACGTGATTTGAATGGTTTACACATTCTCTTTGTATTTTTCTTAACCAACCAATACAGTTTCTCTACATTTTTCGAGAAACACATAGAATCTCTTGCAAAGTATTAAAAAAAACATTTTTAATGTATTTAGCATTAAAATTTTATGATGAAAATAATATCGATAATATCTATACCTACTCCTGTTCGTCTGTCATCATGCATAGACAAGCACACTTTAAAACAAATGAGTCGGTTGATCACCGACCTGCAACCAACCGTGTGTTCGCCGACGAAATTTTATAAGTGGAAAATTCCTACGTCATCAAGCTAAAATTGTCTAAATTATTTGTCTAAGCGTATTCACGTAAACCCGAGCTGGGCAGTATTCTATTTTGTAAATACTTTTTAGTATTCAAATCCTTTAAAGTATTCAAATACTTTGTAATTAAATACTTTTATAGAAGCAGTATTTGTATTTGTAACTCAAATACTTTCACAAATATTTAGTATTCGAATACTTCGCAAAGTATTTGGATATTTTGTAAAGTATTCGAATACTTCGCATAGTATTTGAATACTTAACCTGACCATTCTACAGGCCATATTCTATAAGAAAAATTTTTTCCGGGTCAATCTGAGACAATTTTTCTTTCGGGCCTCAAAAAAAGGCAGTGTATACCTTCCTTTTTTTACCAAAAATCGACTTCACCAAAATTTCTCGGGAAAACACTTTTTTTTATTAATTTTGGTGCGTAGAATCCAAAACAATTCGTACCTTTTCGATCAGACTTCTCAATCAAAAGTTATAGACTAGAAACCAATTTCGAAAGAAAATTCCAAGGGCTCTAACTTTTGAACTAGTAGCCCAATCTTGGAACTGTTTGAAATTATGGATTCTACACGCCACATTCTATAAGAAAGTTTTTTTTTCCGGGTCGATCTGAGACAATTTTTTTTGGGCTCCAAAAAAAGGCAGTGTATAACCTTCCTTTTTTACAAAAAATCGACTGCACCAAAATTTCTCGGGAAAACACATTTTCTTATTAATTTTGGTGCGTAGAATCCAAAACAATTCGTACTTTTTCGATTAGACCTCTCAATAAAAAGTTAGGGACAAAAAACAAATTTCGAAAAAAATTCAAAAAACTGTAACTTTTGATCTAGTAGCCCAATCTTCAAACTGTTTGAAATTATGGATTCTACGGGCCAAATTCTATAAGAAAATGTTTTTTCCCGGTCGACCTCAGACAATTTTTTTTCCGGCCTCAAAAAAAGGCAGTACTTTTAAGTTATTCAAATATTTGAGAACAATTTAGAAATGTTTAGGGAAAGTTTCCATTGTCACAAAATCAAATATAAAAACCCGATACAACTGAATACCGAACGATCCTGGAGTGAAACTTTTTGACTCGATACTCTCCGTAACTTAAAAACAATAGGGACCTTTCTTATATCCTTAAGACCATGTGTACCAATTTTCAAAGCGATCGCAGGTTTCTAAACAAACTATCATGCACACGGACAAACGGATGGTCAAAAATGGATCTGTTCCAAAATCGCTAGGATTAATTTCAGAAAGGCGTACGTATCATGTGCAGGATGCTTTGAAAACTGGTACACGTATTCTTAAGGATATAACTGGTATAAGAAAGGTCCTGGTAGGTACCTACTATATAATAATATAATAATAATACGCTTTTACTCCCCTTAAATTTGTATATAACAATAGAAATATAAAAAAAGCTAACCCCATACAAAGTATAACTTGATATTTTAAGTAGTATTAAGACTTTTATCTAGTATACTATTTTAAATTTTTAATGTTTTTGAGTGACAAGTATTTGAATACTTTTTAATGTATTCGAATACATTCTAAAGTATTTGAATACTTATTTTTTAAAGTATTTGAATACTTTTCCATGTATCTGTATCTAGTATTCGCTTGTGCTGGACGTAAAAGTATTTAGTATTCAAATACCTTTGATTTGTGTAAAGTGTCTACTATATAGTATTCAAATACTTTTTGAAAGTATTCTGCCCAGCTCTGACGTAAACGGACCATTATTGTATCTTTCAGAAGTAATGTTATTTCTATAGAATTACTTATTTGGTTAACACGTTTCTTTTTAGGTTATGGCCTATGGTAGGTACCTATATCGCAATCCGAAACCCATGTATTAATGGGGTCGGTAAGTTAATTGGATTTTAGTCTGATAATAGATGTAATTTGTGTACGTTACGAGCAATTTCGAATCGAAGAATGATACCCGCCTGCTAGCTGAAACTGATCTAATACACTATATCTAATACCGTTATGACGAATTGCTCTTCAATTGATAACATGAAATAGAGAACTTACTAATGTCCAATCAACCGTAAAGTGCCTTTTAATTTATATTCTACCTTTGTCGTTAATGTTAAAGCGAGGTCACCAAGTTCGATAGTTAATAAATTATTACTATATAATTCTAATTTACGATTTAGTGAAGTGAAGCAATTATAATATTGATGTGAAAGGGAAGAATGGCAATGAGAAGAATTTGAGCACAGTAGAGACTTTCAGAATAATTTAAGATACGCATTACAAGAAATTGAGGAGAGCATGAAGAACAGTCTTAAGAGAAGGGCAGAACAATGCAATTCAATGTAGAAATATACAAGGCGTAACATTTAAATTTCAAAATTGAAGGTCACTTACAGCGAAACGGAAAATGATAAAAATACCATTTCGAGTATTTAATTCGTTTTTACTCATAATTTGCCAAAGCTAGTGGAGTGAGCCTAGTAAGTTTTGGAATTGATGACTGGGAACTAATTTTTCCAAAGAAGCTAGGGCAAATTGGACACCAATTGTGGTACATTCAGTGGCGAATAACATACACATATCGTTTATGGATTTATTTGAAATGTATTGGGTTCCCTTCTGAGATTGACAGTGATTTTCTAAAAACGGCAGAGGGACAATGGAAACGAATTTTGGTACATTGAATGCCGAAGGAGGTACATTAATAGTTTTGAGATTTGTCGAAATTTTGTCGGTGCTCACGTGAAGTCGGCCGTGATTTCTCGGAACCGGAATTTCCGAAACCGGCTAATGGAAATGAGTTTTGGTACATTGAATTTAGAACCAGGTAAATTAGCTGATTTCCAAGCCGAACATTTGCCTCGCCCAACTGGAGCTCAGCCCATTTACAGATTGAAGACAAAAGGCCAAACTGGTCAATATTACACACTTTAAGATAAACTGAAACCAGGACAAATTCTTAGAATAAGGAATAAACGAATGTTGGTTGCTCATACTAGCAAAGACAGACATTGGAGTTTGACGCCACAGCTTCCAACCTATTCCTGAAGCTCAACACAATTTTTGAGGGGAACGAAATTTCTATAGAATGACCAAAGCGAGTGTAAATAATAATTTTGGGAACCCTGAAGAAAGCCACAATGGACATATCCTGGATTTTGTGGGGAAAAAAATCAGCCCATTTTGCTATATCCCGGAAACTTTTCTATTTTTTCTTGTAACATAAAATTAATTTGAACATGAATAAACATTCTCTGGTTGTAATTAAACGATGTATATTTCATAAGCAAACATACGTGTTTTTGTTAGAAGCAAACTAAACTCGTACTTACCAAAGTGTAAATTGCAGCTGTAATAGCCGCATGTTTCGGATTAAGCAATCTGCAGCATCCCTTGGTAGTTAAATGGTCGTACGAGTACACAAGGACCGACTTCATGGCTACCACATCATAGTTCTGAAACAACGCAACTATTTAAATTTATTTATATTACGAAACGTACACGAAAGTATTTCGCTTTTGGCGATATTAAATAGTTTTAATTTAATGGCTTCCAAACTAATTACAATTGCAAGGGAGAAATGAGAATCGAAACAATTGAGAATGTTTCATTTCCACTGGATTGGTTTCGATTTCAAGTTCGAAAGTTAGTTAAGGCTCGAGATATCTACCTAATAAAATCCTTGGAATGATACGATCGTTATATCGAGGAATTAAAGATAAAGTTACTTGGATTTCATTTTGGGGCTTAACAATACCGAGATGTATTTCAATATCTGCGGGCGTTTTCAAGGTAAAGTTTCAACTTCGTAACGGACTTTAATTATAATTAATGCAACTTCTCAAAAAGGATGATCCACATTGAATGAACTTGGACTATCTATTTCGATCGACTTTAGACCAGTTCACTGGTGGTAGAGAAACGTTTATGGGACATGAATAAACAAGCTTACAGTAAGACCTTTTAGTTCGTAACATCAGAACCTGATATATTCAATCTGCTTGTACACAGTCAGTTATTCTTGGACAATGATGAACAGTTAGGGTGACAAGTAAAGGTCTTGCAAAGTATATGTTGATACAACAAGAGTATCCAGTTGAAGCGTAGCAAGAGATCTTTTACTAAAAAAAAGTGAGAGGCTGCGAGAAGCAATTTGTTGCGTACAAATATTCTACAACATTGTATACGTACCTATACATGAATCGCGTATTAAAGCAACTGTTTATCAAGTTAACAGTAGAACAAGGGTTAAAACTTTTTAATGTACGCAATATTTTCGCTCCAATAAATTTTCGCATAAATTTTAGTAAAATTCGGAAATTCCGGAATACATATTTACTTGTGAAACGCTTTACAGTTTCTTAAATATAGAACGGAAAACAAAGGAGCGGAAAATGTTTTGTTTGCAATCATAATATCGGGTTTTCGGGTGCAAAAGAAACACAAAATTAGTATGGTAATACAGTGAGAATCACCATATTTTATATTTTTGGCCAGTGAACCCGTATCTCGTATACTATGCCGCATTCAGCTAAAGAGGTATTCATTTTTTCGAAAATTAAAACATTAATGGTTGATTGTTTCGATTAAATTTTCATCATCAATTCCTTTCGCTTTTCTTTGGTATATAATAACGTTCCGAATGAAAGAAGTCGCATGAAAATATTAACGTTTTGATCTGTTGTAATATTCAAGTGGTAGTTGAGATTTACATTTAAGACCCTCATAAAAATCTAAAGTCTAAAAAACATCATCGTGTGAATTCTTGACATGACCAATGATGAAAGTCCTTCGGCGTAGCTTGTTATTGCAAATTTTAGCTAAATATCTCGCAAACTACAAGAGATATAAAGAAAAAACATTATTAACGGTAACGAAGTGTTTGTAAACGTATATTTAAATGAACTGTTGGTCATTATATTACCCAGAGAATTAGTTCCTTCCGTATTATATGTACATCACATTTCGAACGCCCTGTATATACAATTTGTTATTGAAAGAGTTTTAGAGGTAAGGAAGGATTTGTGGAAGACTCCTTTGGAAGTTCAAGTTAAGTACAATTTCCCATGTAAACAAAAATTCCAAAAGGTGACTCGACAGCAGTTCATTTTTGATCGCATAGTATAAGTATATAATGAATGTTCCCATACAACACCAGTAATCGGTGAATCAGTTGTAACTTTACAATACCGTAGCAAAGTAAGTAGTCGATTCTTGATGTAATTGTAGGATTTCACTTCAGCAGATCTCCTCTACCTCAAAAATAATTCAGGGAAATGAAAACTTACCGTTCGTTCTTCTTCAAAACGTTGCGCATCTTATTGAGGAAACATAATCCTTTAATAAGTATTCTTGTTTTTCCGCACTTTTCAATAAATAACATACATGGATTCGACACTTGGCTTGATGCTTCAAGTTCCTCAGAATACTGATCATCTGTAGCGACGAATTCTTCATCTGACAGTGAAGGTCGTTTCCGGCAAGAAGTGTCAACTAAGCCGGAAGCAATTGAGCAGTTCAGTTCATAAGGGGAATTTTTTCGGAAAATCCTGCATTTAATTTATCCAATAGTTCTCATGAATGAGAAAACTTTCCAGCAGAAGATTTAAAGTTATATTTATTATATATTATATTATTATATATTTATTAGATTTAAAGTTATATTTAAATTAAATATTTCAAATATTGCAGTTTAAACATTAAAATATTTTTATTGCAGACATTTAGGTTTCCTTGGCGAACAAAAGATGGCAGGATTGTTTAAAACGACAATTTCTTGGTTATTACCATTATTTGTTAATATACTCTATGACTCATTTGTTTTATTCACATGAGTTTTCATGTCCTTTGTTTTGTGGTGTATTATTTGCAATTAAAAATATTTGGAATTAATAACAATTTCCAAATAACTAAGAAATTGTCAGTTTAAACTAACCTGCCGTCTTTTGTTTGCCATGGTAACCTAGATCCTCGCAGTAAAAATATTTTAATGTATAAAAAGCAATATTTCAAATAATATTTAATATAAATACAGCAAGTACACATCAAAATTTAAGACATTTTATCGTCTTTTCAAAAATTCTAAAATATATAGGGTGGTCTATATGAAAACAAGTAGTTTAGGAAAAATTCACAGATCTCGCAATTCTTGCAACTATCGCAAAGTCTTGAAAACAAACACACCATTACATAATATAATGAACAACATTTATTATGACATTAAAAAATAAGAATGAATATGAAAATAGCTAATACAAAAATTTACAGATTTTGCAATTCATGCAACTATCGACGACCTTGGAAATGATAACAATATAACTTGGCATGTTGAAGATCTCATTTAACCCGATGACCATGGTTAGACGTTTGTTTTCGCCGGATTGCTGACAGTTCTGCTTCACAGATGTTGACATATTCTTTTTGCGGGATTTGATTTAAATATTTATTTATGTTCTATATCTTTTTTTTCTATACACTACTTGTTCCATTTTTTCATACTGCTGTACTATTTTTTATGTTGGTTGGATTTTTCTTTTTCATTTTTCCGGTACAGTCTATCGCCTACGTACCAGGAATGTTTGTATGAGGTTTCCGATTAGTTTTCCGATTTCCCTGACCCTTGCGGCAGCACTTGGGGGTACTGGCTATCTTTTCTTCACTCATAACATTTTTGTTAGGTAGTAGTTTTTGGTAGTTTAGCGCACAATTTTGGCGATTAAAATCATTTAATTGGGAGTTCCACACGAATTCGTCCTAACTCCAATAATAAGGAGGATATGGTTATTTTTTCTGCTTCTTCTTTGTTGACTGATATTTGCTATAGAATTCTCCATCGACGATGGATTTTTTTATTAATGATAGACACTGCCAATCACTAGGACAGCTTGTTCTTTTTTTAAATCTTTTCTCCAATTATAATATTATCTGATCGTATTATTATAAAATAGCTTATAATTAGAGAAAAAATTTAAGAAAGAACCACCCTCAAGCCATTAAGAGTACCTACCACTAATCTTTAAAAAAATCAGCTTTATTCGTCCAACCGTAACCTAGTTATATCCGTAGAAAGTCCGTGAAAAGCGGACCAATAATTGTTTTTTACGAAGCTATCAAAAGTTCGCGATTTTTTAAGAGCTATTGATCAACATTTTCATTTGGTGTATAACTTATTTTCTAAAAAAAACATTTAAAATTAGATCCGGGAACTGAACTCACTTCTTTGGATGACATCTAAGTTACATTAAGGTAAGCGTTGCCTTTTTGTTTTGCTTGTATAGCTAGAATACATAAGTTATGATAAATTTCGTAATTTATAGGTCATGAAGCAATGTAACAGTTTGCATCGTTGTTATAAGCAAATTCCATGTCAGTAGTAATACTTCAACTAAGCAACAATTATGACAGTGACCGTAAACAATTAATTTTTGCTCAATTTGTTTAGAAGCGCTGTAAATTTATCAAACACAAATTGGTGTAAATTGGGCACATTAAAATAACAGAGATTCTTCGACATGTAGCTTGTGTCCATTAACCCCTTGATCCTTCTATCCGATTGCCATAAGTTAAGCCTACATCTACGCAGAACGTGAGGCTACGTTCTAGTGGCAATCTACCCAAAGAATCTTTCCCGAAAGTTTATTTCTCAAGTAATCAATTTAATCGATCATTCTTGATTGGGGGTTTGTTAAACTGATATATTTCAATTGCAAAGTCGAGTTATTAAGATTTTTGTGTGTGACGTAACTTAGAATTTTGACATTTATATAGTTGCATGTTACGCTATCCCATTGCGGAGACAATTTTTATTGTGGCATTTAATGACAATAAACCAGTATTTATTTTGGTACTTACAAAAATTGATTACATGAAAAAGAGCGCAGTTTAAAAAACTATTCGATGTGTCTCAGCATATATCCGAAAAACAACCTTTGATTTACTGAATGTATATGTTATTGGCTCACCCTTTGGAATCCTGTAGACACACTATCAACAAATGCAATGAAGCCTAATTTTGTTTGAAGTAAGTTATAAGTTATAGGCGATCTCATTTAAGGGAAGCATTTGATACTGAAGAGAATAGAACCCATACCTCAAATCTGCTTTACGGTCTTTGAATTCTCTAAGGTGAATGTGAACTTGCCTAGATTGAATCCATTTAAAAAATAGGAATCGCTAAATGACAAGAAAGTCACGCACCAGTAAATTTTCTGAAACTCCTACCGTACATTTGAGAGAAAGCGCCTTTTTTGCACTCATATATTTCTTTGCTTAAGCAAATATCTTCAACATTATAATTTCCTGATTAACTTGTACGTAAACTTTTTCAATTTCCTCAATTGCCTTTGTGCTGCAACGCTTTTTAACACAGTTTTAATTTCCGGTATTACTATTTTTCGAAGCCGACTTTAGACCAATTTTATACGCTACTGTTTCATACTATCAGTTAA